TCGGCACAGCTTCTGGGACAATGAACTGTCAAACTAATTTTGGAATTGATTTTTTTTTAAAAATTGTTGAAAAATGCATGTCATAACAATCTCCGATTGACCACATGAAAGAAAAATATAAATACTTATTTTTGAGAAAAATTAAAATTTGACATATGCTTCACTACTTCTCGAAAATTTTTTTTTGTATTAAAATGTAATCAATTTTTTTAAATATATATCTACATTGATTTTATTAATAATAATATTCAGTTTCGTAGTTCAAAGGACTAAGAACTTCTAAGCAGCTGACTAAAAATAGGGTTTTATAGGTAAAATATGTAGCTCCTTCATATTGTATGTAGGGTACTATAGACACAATAATGCACGTTCTATGCAAAAGCTGTCTCTCCTTACATTTATTTGTTTATTACATTTATTTATTTGGAGTTTAACAAATCACCAGGGATAATGGTTTCTTTCTTGTTTCTGGAACTTTATTTCCCTTCATTTTTCTCCTGACTACCTAAATTACAAGTAAATGTGTTTTCTCCTCCGGATTAAATAGTTAAAATACGCACGTTACATTTACCAAAAAAACGACAGACAACACGCACCAAAGGCGGCATGCCAATGCAAGCATTTGGTTAAGGTATTTATTCAAACCCCCCACCTCCTCCTCCTTCCGCAAACTTATTCACCAGCGCAGTGTTGCAATTTTGACGAGTGGTCAGATTAATTTACATACATACAATGCAATATATCTTTGTTTTTTTTTTTTTTGCAACATTTTACCAATCAACTGAATCCATTTTAATGGCAACAATGGCATCTGATGGACTTTGGACATGGACATATGCAATGAATGGAATATATTAATCATGACAGCGAAAGACGATAGTGGACCGAATGCAGTGAGGGATTTTCGATTCGTTACATTTTTTTTTGCGCTCCGTTACACTACAAAGAGCATATCCTTACCGATGATGGTAATGCTGATGTGTGATTACATTTGTCTGTAATTTAAGATTACAAATTGATGGTTGTTTTTTCGTAGTGATAATGGTTTTTTTTTTGTGGGGTCGGGGATTATGGTTATATTGTGGAAATATTTCGTTTTTCCTGGCATTATTTCTTTAAAACTACATTTAAAATATGTTAGGGTATGAACAGATTGCTGGAAAAGTTTTCGCTCAATACGAATGATATTAACTTTTTTATGAAATCACCGTTTTGGTGTAAAAACGACCAAAATAAAAAAATATTCTTAAAAGAATTTGTCACACGTTGTAGTTAGCATTAAAAGACGAGAAAAACGGCACTTAATCATTTCAGAATGCAAAATGTCAAATTTTTGCGAAATTTATTTTTGGTGTAAAAACGGCCAAAATAAAAAATATATTTTAGAAGAATTTGCCAAAATATGAAGTTAACATAAAACGACGACGTCAAAGGCACTAAAGGCAAATCTAAAACTGACACGTTTATCATCAAGTGTTTAGATTTTAAAGTAAAAATGTCAGTTAAATGTCAAATCAAAAACAAATCTGTCAGCCAAACAATTTTATCTAGATTGATAATTTGATAATTAAAAAACAAAAAATAAAAGAATTTAATGCAATAATTCGTCTAGAGTAAGGTGGGAACTACCTACCTACCAAGTGTAGGTTTGTTTTGATATATCAGCTGTTTAATATGCAATTAAACTACCAAACAAACTACTCAAAATTAATCACTGACCGTTGTCAAATGCGTTGGCCGCTACTACATAGATCAGCTGACTAAGACTAATAGCACGTTTACATACCAAATCTCTGGCCGTGTTACCGCTGATAATTGACCAATCACAATATTTTTAATGTTTTGTTTTATTGTGATTGCTCAACCCAGGGAGAGATTCGTATGTAAACGTACTTTATGTTTACATTTGCTTTTTTGTTTTTTTTTTTCTTTTATATTTTAATGCAAATGGCTAATGTTGCCTAAAAGTAAAATGTAAACAGGTCTCTCCTTTAAATTAAACTCCTCTTTTGAATATAAAAACCCTTGTAACTCGCCAAATACCGAGAATCGCCAAATCTTTGTCGGTCCTAAATTTAGTAATGACAGATTAAATTACAATCTTTTTACCAATTTTTCAAACTTTCCAGCTCTACTCTGAATATTTCCAATTGTAAAATGGAATACAAGAAAGCAAAGAAATAAAAGACAAGAAAGAAAGAAATAATTATCGATAACCACTAATCGACTACAATGCATCAATTCTTGGGAACATTGATATCTCAACATTGATAAAATAGTTTGTCAAAAATAAGCAGATTTTTATAAGTTTTCTTATACGATGCAAATCAGAGTTTGTTATGATATGAATTATTCAAAAAATTTTACAAATTTCAATGATATTTCATTCAACATTTTCAATTCTAAAATCGGTTTGACAGTTCATTGTCCCAGCAGCCGTGTCAATGCTTCTACGTAAATTTTGTGTTCTTGTGCCATGGGCCTTATCATTTGTGCCGGTCGATACTACACGGAACACATGGTAGAAAAATGCAGGTAGACGCATCAACGCTTGTGAACATTGATATGTCAAAAATTTTTAAATGTTTTTTCAAATATAAATAGATTTTTATATGTTTTCTTATACGACGCAAATCGGAGGTTGTAATGATATGTTTTTTTCAACAATTTTTACACATTTCAATAATTTTTCATTCACGATTTTCAGTATCAAAATCGGTTTGACAGTTCATTGTCCCAGCAGCTGTGTCGATGTGACTACCTGTATTCTTCTACCGATTTTAAAAAGAAATAAAAGCTTTTTAGGAAGATTCTTCCCTCTTCACATCGCGTTGACCATAGAGGAAAGAAAATTGAAGTAGAAGAAAACTGGTAGATGCATCAACTCTTGGAAATTTTGACATATCAAAAATTCTTAAAATGTTTTGTCAAAAATAAGTAGTTTTTATAAGTTTTCTTATATGACGGAAATCGGAGTTTGTTATGATATGAATTATTCAAAAAATTTTACAAATTTCAATGATATTTCATTCAACATTTTCAATTCTAAAATCGGTTTGACAGTTCATTTTCCCAGCAGCTGTGTCGATGCACCTGTGTTCTTCTACCATGGTCGATACTACACGAAACAGCTGACTTAGGACTCGTTTACATTGCAGTGTTTTTATCGTAATAATTACTCAAATTTCCCTATCAGACGTAGTGTACAACTAGATCGTCTCTGCCTTTTAAATTTCCACAGATATATATTTTCTCTTTCAATTAAAACCAGACTTAAGTTCATTTTTTATCTCTTCTTTTTTTTTTTTTTTTTGTTCCTTCGTCTTCTTCTGCTCGTTTTTACATTTTCTGCTAATTGTATGAGGCCAAGTAAATATATGTCCGTACATCTTGTTGTCATCAACTTTCGACGAAGGACACATGCCAATATAAGGCCGTAGGATATACAATGTTTTTTGTCTCTCTCTCTCCTTTTTGTCCTTAAAACGAATGAAAGGATTTGGTGAATTTCTTAATTATTGTCGGTTATGTGACAATCGAATGCAGCGGCGGCGGCGGCTCCATATACTTCCTTTCGTTATCATTTTAATGGGGAAATGGGATTAAACACAATTTGCATGATTAACAAGGCGTGTGGAAGGTGGTCCATCAACAACGTGCTGATTTTCTCCATTTTCTTAATGGCCAGCCATAGCTTCGCATGTGTAATGATGTAAACGTTGTTTATTCATAATTGCAACGATTCGTTGAGCTGATATGGGTAAACCCAGTTAAGAGAACTAATTAAGGAATTTTTATTCACGCACACACACACAAATGCAATTGGTATTTATTTTTGTAAATGCCCCCCAGCTTAAGGATAAGAAAACTTACACCATAACGCAATCAAGTTTCAAAATTATCTTTATATTGTTTTTTTTTTTAAAGTTAACAACTGTAAAATTTTGTGGCCATTATTCCATTGAAATGTTGCAAAAGAAGTTTTTTATGTCTGCCGTCTGTTTTTGTGGTACAACATCCCGAAATTATGTTCACAAATTCACAATTTAATTAAAAACATTAAATAATGTTATTTGTGGAAACTTTGCAGAATGCCAAATACTCCCAAGCATTGCCACCCTGACCTTTTTACCACAAATTACCCCAGTTGTTGTTTGGCCGCCAAAAAAGGACTTTTGGCCATAAAATACACTCGACAACAATGTCATAAGACTTTTTTTGGGGGAGGTGGGAAACATAGTAAACAATAACATCAACAACAAATTACCAAATAATTTCTTGAAATGCCATGTGGCCCACTGCCGGCCACAATGAAAATCCTTTTTTTTTCTCTTTGTGGCATTGGGAGACCATAAACAAGCTAAGGAGCTTGGTTGACAAGTTAAATTAAAGTTAACATGGCATGACATTCAAAGGAAAATATTTTGAAAGTTTTTTCCATTGTTGTTGTTGTTGTTGCACAGGAAACTCATCGTCATCATCATTATTGTTGTAGAAAAGGCGCAAAACTTGTTATACTCCCCTCTGCTTGGCCATTACCCTTTGACTGCCGGCCGGGAACTGGCACTTTTCAAGTGTCCGTGAATTGTTAATGTGTCCTGGTTTTCAAAACTTCATTTTACCAATGAAATCCTTGGTTGTTTACAAAGTTTCAAGTGGTTACTTTTTTTCTATTTTTTTTTTTTTTTTTTGGTGAACCAAATAAAGTCACCAACAAATGACGAAGAGACTAAGACTAAAAGGTTTATAGCTCAGCATAGAGGGGAACAGAAAACAATCAGACAAAATTAGCGACATTAAAATTAAAGAAGCTAACGTTTGGATATTTGAAAGAGTTGCATGTTTCAAAGACATTAAAAATTTAATTTTATTGTTTTGACAATAAAAAATAAGATAATAGACTTTAAAATAATTTTTTTTATAAATCACATCAAAAATATTTTTTATCTGATTTTATTCTAACGTCACCATTATTTTTTTTTTTTTTTTCTAAATTTCAGCATCCGCCGCCGATGTACCAAAACTGGAAATTTTCCCCTCACAAAAGGTCCAAAGAAAAGCTGTGGGACAAGCCATGATCCTAACATGTCGTCCGAATGTGCCTTCACCAAATTTGGTGGCCGATCTGCAATGGAAGGATAATATGAACAATACAATTTTACCCAAGCCGTAAGTAAAAGAAAAATATTTAAACTCTATAAATAATATTCAAAAAAAATATATATGTTATCCCTGTGTCCCCCGGCCAAAAGTGATTGTATAAAGTGATAAAGAGTATAATATCCCAAAACCCGCAAACTCTATGGATCTATCTAAATGTACCCCTTACTAAATACATATTGTAAAAAAAAACCAAACACAATATTGAAACGAAAGTTACTAAAACCGTGTATTATATTATTTGCTATAATTTTTTTCACCTGAATACGTGCAGAATTTGAAGGTGAAAAAGAAACTCTACTCGTACTACTTTTTTTAGGCTTGAATTCCCTGATACCCCACCCGTTGAGAAAAAACCCAAAGTTGAAATTTATATTCTAAGTGTAACGTAAATTTATTATGTGGCCAGCTACCTTTAGTAAATTGCTAATTATGATTGTCTTCCCTGGCTATTCTAAATTGTCAAAAATAGTGTATTTAAGTCACAATTTTCCAAAACAACAGGACTTTTTACAATTATTATATACTAAAGACAGTTATTATAATTTATTGCTATTTTTATTCATATTTTGTATAAATATGTATTAGTTTTGTATATCACACCACTGAAAAGTACTAAACAACTGATTACATTTAGGGATTTATAGGTGAAAAATATGCTACTCATATTATGTAGGGCTCTATAGGCACTATAATGGAAATTATCAATCAAAGTTTATTTTTATTAGTCCTGATTTTGGTAGAAGAATCAAACCAATTTCGGAATTAAAAATTTTGAAAGAAAAATTATTGATACAACAACCTCCTATTTGTGTCGTATAAGAAAACATCTGAAAATCTACTTATTTTAGACAAATTATTTTATTATAAATCACGACCATGGTAGAAGAATACAGGTAGATGCATCAACGCTTGGGAATATTGATATGTCAAAATTGTTTCTATTTTTATTCAAAAATAAGTCGATTTGTATATTTTTCCCATACGATGCCAAACGGAGGTTGTTATTATAAGCATTTTTTTAAATGTTTACAATTTTTGGTTAATTTTCCATTCAAAAATTTCAATTCCAAAATGCGACTACCTGCATTCTTCTACAATGGTTTAAGGATAAAGGGAAGATGGTCTGGCCTATTGCTTATCGGATAGTTCATATTTAATTAAACTTGTTAAAACGAAAAACCGATTTATTTGTCCAAAAACATACCTTTTTTATCTACAGGAAAAAATGTAATAACCGGTTTATGTCTTTTAATTCATTTTGTCTAGTCCTTGCCATTTTAAGTCTTGGCAAACAAGAAATACAGGGTTCTATAGGTTCATAAATATACCTTTGTTTAGGGTTCTATAGTTACAATTAATTACACTTACAAAATAGATGTTTACGAAGGCACAATGGGTTTGATGCATTGCAATATAAAAATTGTATTAAATAAAATTCTAAAAAAAATTAGAAGCAGTTTAAATTTTATTGTTATTTTTATTTTAATATTCAAAAAGTGGTTAATTTTCATAAAAATAATTTTACTATTCGCTATTCTTACACGATCTTCTTTATCTTCTCCTCTTCGTTTTTTCTATATATTTTGCAGTATTGTAAAACAAATGTCAAACATGTAAGATTTAGTTTATTTTTTTGTTGTTATTTTGCCAAGTTTTAAGGCATTTTAAAAGCAGCAGCTGCTCGTGGCCTAAGGTTGGCCAATCGAGAACATTACTAATCTGAAAAGCTTTTAAAATGCGCAAGCTTTCAAATTTAAAAATTTCAAAAGTTATTATAACCAATTTTTGTTTATATTTATTAATATTTCAAAAAAATTAAATTAAACAGGATTATTAAGCAAATACGTGACAAGTAAGATTTAATTAGGTATAGCCCAAAGACATAATTTAATTTTATAAAATTTTTATAAATTAGTTTTAGAAATGTTATGAGCAAAACTAGAAAGGTTTATTTTTCTTTAATACACACGTTTATACTTGGCTTTTTAAATATTTTTTTTCTGAATTACTTAACACAATTTCCTGCTGTATTTTATTTCCTTTATTGCCAACTCACACTTTTTTCTTGTTCTTCTTTTTTAATTATTTTATTAATTATTTTTAAATACTATTATTATTATGATTTTTTTGTACAAATTTAATTCTAATTTTCTTTCTTTATACAAAAAAAAAAACGAAACACACGTCCGTCTTTCTTAGGCACCAAATTTATCAACCAGTGTATGATTCCAAAGGACATAGAATACGTGAGAAGTAAGTCCAAAGGGATTCACAAATTGCTAATGCTAAAAAGAGAAAAAGAGAAACCATAACCCTAATAAGACCATTTGCTTCCCTCTCTCTCTCTCTCGCTCTCTTGTCTTTTCGATGTTAAACAATAAAACCCCCCGTTTAGCTTAGAGAAACGAGAAATGCTAACAAGAAAAAGTTTGCTTTTGGTTTGACGAAACATTGTTTCAACATCTTTTTTTCGGAAAGCAAATAACACCCCCTGAGCAACATAGAAAAAGTAACACACAAAATTTTAACAACTTAAAAAAAAAAACCTAGTTTAGTTTAATAAAAAAACATAGAAATGAGTTATGATTAAATGATTTTTTTGTTCTTGAATCCTTGAATCTTGAAGTCTTGTCCCTTAACATTAAAATAGAATCCTGCACGTTGTTCTTTTTTTATATATTAATATCATCATTGTAGTGTAATTCAGCCATTGATTTTCAATTACTCTTTGTTTTTCATTTGTTGTATTGATATTTTGTTTCTTTTTTTTGTTGTAATTTTGTGTGTATGTTTTTCTTTTTTTCTTTTAATCTTTGTTTTCATTTCCATTTCATTTGATCGTTAAATGTCCTCGTTCGAACATACATTGGTATCACAAAGAGTACTAACACAACCATTAATAATTTTGAAATATACATTAAAAAGCTAACTTCTATTTAAAACTGGTGCCTACATTTAGGCATAAATAATAAATATATCATATTCATACAACGAGTATACATTTAGGAGTATATAATCATTATTTAATCCTATAAATTACAAAATATATTTAGGAATTTTCTTAAAATCTTCAGGGGTTTAATATTAAATTTTATGTTTTCGAAAAAACAAATAAAAAAAATTGTATTTGAAAAATATTTAATATTTAAAAAACAAGTAAAATGCCGATCGGATATAAATATACATCTTATTCCGATTATTTCCGATTTTTTGATCGTTTTTGTTATTCAAAACTTCGACCCTTTGTGTGGGAGGTACTTGATGGAGTGGGCTGATATATTCCATCTTCACACCAGAGGTTGTGTTCATAAAAATTTTGTGATTTGAGTAATTTGAAGACAATCGGACACTTATATGACATTTTATAAGAGTTATAATTATTCAAAATGTTGACCCTTTGTGGGGTAGGTACTTGGAGTCGACTGATATTGTCCAATTTTGCACCTGGCCTAGCACTGGTGCAAATTTTAAGATTCACAAAGTTGAAGAAAAATCGGATTATCCTTTCTCTTTCTATGCAGCAAATTTTTTTTTTTTTTTTGAAAATTTCCACCTTTTGTGGGTGAGGTACCAGAAGAAATGGACAGATATTGCCCATTTCCGAACTCGACCAAAGTTTGATAATAATATTACGATATACCAAGTTTGAACCAAATCGGATCTTCCCTTCGAGAGTTATCGTGCGCTCCAACCAGCCAGACAGGGTCTAAAATCGTTATTTAGATATGGTTGAGGGTATAAAAAATAGTCTCCATTTCGGAAAAAAATTAATATAAATGAAATATCCTAGCTATTTTCCCCATTGGATTTCACCTGGCATTTTTTCCCCTCCATCAAATTCCAAACTTCCATTCCAACCACACAAATGGTGTTTTCGCACAACTCTCTGTGGATTTTTAATCCGGCCATAAAATCAGCTATTTTCCATGAGCAATTGAATTATCCTTGGCATTTCAACTTCATTTTGCAATGAAATTTATTGGACTCGCCAAATGCCAAATGAGGGGTAATATAATTATTTTATGCGATTTCAATTTTGGCAATATCCAAAATCCATGGATCAACAAAATGGGGGACGGGCTTTGCTGTTGTTGTTTTTGTGTGTGATTTGACAAATTCCAAAATGATTTAATTTATATGATAATTTGTAAAGGCCTTCGTTGTTCATCATTGTTTTAGGAGGAGGGGAGGGAGGATTGCGGCTACACATTTTTAACACGTTATCACATTGTATGCTAATTTCTGCCGCCCCCAAACCGGGCTATGCAAATGATTTAAATTGAAAAATTAGCTAAACTTATGCCTTGATTGGCCATCATGGCATTGAGCCTAAAAATATGCAACAGATTTAGGGGATGTGTGTTTAAAGTCCCTCATTTTAAACATTGATACAAAGTAGAATGTTTGATATTATTTTGCGAAACTTGAAATGTTTTTATGCAAATGGCTAAAAGAGAAACTAAATTTTATTGAATTTTAAATGAACACAAATATATTTTGGTTTTGTACATGAATAACCATAATTTCCTTAAGGCCAGTGTTTACGAAAGTGTATCTATTTATTATAGGAAAAATTTTTTGCTCTAGATTTTTTTCCTAATTTTAATTGCAAATGTTTATGCATTGCCTTTTGCTCTTTGCACAATTTGCGTAAATTAAGCTCCTTTTTTGTTTGAGGCATTTCATCACAAAACCTCAACAACTCCCCAAAGTATGCTCTATAATTATAACTTTATTTTGTAAAAACCCTCAACAGCTAATGCCATTGAAACTAACTGCAGTTTTGCGTGATATACTATTCACATACACGCACACGCACACTCTCATCGAATAGGCTTCCATTGAATGGCGAATGGCTAGAAGTATACTACAATGTTTGACCACACATGCATGTATATTCAAACATTACAGGCTTTGATTTAGTTTTGAAAGCATTCGAACATTTGTTTTTGCGTGTGTGTGTGTGAGTGAGTGTGCGTGTGTTTTGAAATGCAACTTCACAGCTGTGTTATGCAAATTTCATTGCATAATACAACAGTTTATTGCATTCGTCATAGTTGTTTTAGTTTCTTTTTGTTCTAATTGCAATGTTAGCATAAAAATGCAAAAAAAAAAACAACAACAACTTTGAAATAGGGTTATGCACAAATAATTGTGTGAATAATCCTTTGAAATTTAATGCAATAATGGTACATAATAATATGTTTGAGGACGATAACACAAAGAAGGATACTGTGAATACCTACAACAAACTCAAAAATGACCCATTTTAACAACAACAACAACGACGAAATTTACAGCTTTTAAAATTATAATCCTTAAAGGGATAATTTTTTTTGGAAATTTAATGGAAATTATTTTTGATATGTTATTGTGGAGTTTTTTGGAGTAGGAATTTTCCCCTACCTCCATTCAAAAAACGCACAAGAAAGCCTTAATATTAGCTTCTATTTATTTAAGGGTCATTAATGGTAAATTATTAATTCAACCTTATGACCTCTCATAATTAATGTTTACCCAGCAGATAACAGGTGTCTTTAATCGAACGGCCCAAAGTATGCCTGTGTCTACCCAAACTCACAGCATCACTTTGTTGTGAATCTCAATCAATTATTTAAACAAATATTTACATAAATCTCCATTTCGATACACAATTACAGATAATAAAAATAATTTCAAATGATGAGCATAGATTGTGAACATAACCTCAACAGAAAAAAATGCATTATCTGGGCCAAAGACAAAACAACCCAAAGACATTAATTACTCACCAATAAACAAGAACAAAAGCAATCATGTTGCTTGGGATTTATTTGAAAACTTTAAATCAACGGCAACAAAATGATGTTATGTACAATAATTAACTAGAGATTTTATTTCTAATGACTAAAAGTATGCTTTACATAAAGTAATTTATTTGAGGTGTTATTGTATTGGCCATGAATGAGGTGATTAACATTTTCGTAGACATGCAAGTGATTTAGATGGAAATATTTAAAAGGAATGCAGGCTAGAGATGTGCTACAAATATTTTAAGAGCCGGAAAGTGTGCTAGAATTTATTACACAAGGAAGAGAGATTTGGAAGGAGATTTTTAAATCAAATAGATTATCAGCTGGATTTAGAAACCTGTAAAACATAGTCCATTATTCCCAAAACATGTTAACGACCCGTAAAATCAAGCTAAACTCTATTTGAATAAAATCCCCCAAAAGTATGCTTCTGTTTTTCCATATTGAATAAATGCTAGCAAAATTTTTTTGTCCTTTCAATTATGGACGATTTTAGCTTTTCAGTATTTTCGGAGTTCACACCAGGACTAAAATTAAGGATACTTGTTAAAACCTTTCGGAGGCCCTAGCGGACCGATAATTTTGTTTTTGTTTTTTAAATAAAATTTATTGCACAATGAAGAACAAAAGCATACTATTGGTGGAGAATTTTAAATCAAACAGATTACATGTACATGTACATTGAATAAAATTCCCCAAAAGTATGCTTTTGTTTTTTCCATGTTGAATAATTACTAGCATACTTTTCGGCTCTTGTAATCACCCAGAATTTTTTTGTTTTTCTGTATATTTGGAGCTCACGCCAGGGCTAAAATCAAGATTTTTTCTTTAACGCTTCCTCAGGTCCTAGCGGACAAATAATGTGGGATTTTTTTAAATATTCTCTAAAATTATACCCGAGTTTAAACCGTCGATACCTTCATTTTTTATACCTTCCACCATTAACTTTGTCATTATTAACTTTGTCATTCCGTTTGTAACTCCTCGTAATCCCAACAAAGTATATATATTCTTGATCAGGGTAAAATTCTAAATCGATTTAGCGATGTCCGCCAGTCTGTCTGTTGTAATCACGGTATCTTTAGACGAAATGAGAAAAGATGGCTAAAATTTTGTAGATATGTGTCTTATGCCCGAAGGCAATCTAAGTTCGTAAATGGGCCTTGTAGGTGGACGTTTTCATATAGCCCCCCATATAACGGTACCTTCCAATATTCGGTATTCTCATGATTTTAGCGATTTTTTTACCGGAATTATATCAAATTTCGTATTTTAAGTTCGTAATAGGTACTAGAGCCTATGACAAAAAATCGCGTATGCAAGTCCAAGTCTTCGTATAGGCCCCACATAACGATACCTCCCGATATTCGGTATTTTGATGATTTTAGCGACACAATTGACCGAATTTTTTTCAAATTTCGTAGTTGAAGTTCGTAATGGGTACTGCAATGTATGACAAAAAAAGTGTCCATGTCTACGTACAGCCCCCATATAACGGTACCTCCCAATAATCGGTATTTTAATGATTTCAGCGACATTTTTTACCAGAATTGTTTCAATTTTTTATTTAAAGTTCGTAACGGGTACTACAACCTGTAACAAAAAAAGATACTTTTGAAGGAACACGTCTTCGAAGGAACACGTCTTCGTATAGCCCCCATATAAGGGGTTTCATTTGAGAGGTATTTTTCTACGGATTTTTTTCTCTTTTTTTTGAAAAGTTTCATGCTTTTCCAAATGGTGGAGAATATAAAAAGTTCGGCCCGGCCGAGCTTAGTTGCTTTTTTACTTGTTATTTTTACTTGTTATTCATTTATGTAATCATGAGGATTTAAAGATATTTTCATTTGTTAAATATTTTTTAAGGCATTCATTTTTGCTGGCATTGCCAGATTGTTAGTAAGGATTTTTAATTCTTCTGGGCATATCCAGGGCATATTTCTTATTTCTCAATATTTTTTTTAAAGAACAACAACCCTAAGTTAGCCCAATTTTAAAATTGAAAAGTTTTTTTTTTATTAAAAAATATTGCATACCCTCAGGCTTTGTATAAACATATTTCAACAAACATTGGGTTTTGTATGGATTTTACATGAATTTACGATAACAACATCACGAATCTCATCATGTTCAATTTTACAAATAATTAAAAAAAAAAACATTAAAATCAACGTCAAAAGAGAAAAAACTTTCTTACATCACCATACCATATTGAAAACTAATACCTTAGGTATTCAGGAACCTCATGAACATAAAACCATTAGCTGATTCTTTTTCCATACCTTCTAGTATTCGAAAAATACATATTTCATTACATATTTAAATATAATGCAATTAAAACGAATAAAACTTTTTACAACTCCCTAGAATATACTTTACTAAAACCCCTGCAGAAAAGAAATGCTAACTTTAACTCCCATGTACGCTCACACCCACACACCCCCGAACACCGTCATCGGTGTTTGCTGGGTTGTGCTAGTGACTTTGAAAATCATTTTGCTCGTCTCATATATATACTTTTTTGCTTTGATCCGGTTGCAAACTACATTCATGAATGCAGCTACAACTAACCCAAGATAAACATAGCAACATACATATCTACATACCTACAAAAAGAGAACGAAGAAAAGTTAAAGTCCTTTCACCAAACCACCCCCACCCCCCAAACCACCACTAAAACATTGCCATACCATAATTTCAAAACTTACAAGCAATATCTATGTACAAATACTAATTAAAATTGTTCCCTTCATTTCTTCTTTTTTTACCTTTTTTCTGCAATTGCCGATTCACACCCCAGTACGGGACGCAATCCTCCCATGTTCACGGAATACATGACCGGTACCGAAAGTTTGGCGCTTATTATCAACCACCTTAGCGTGGAGATGGAGGGCAAATACTATTGCACAGCATCCTATGCCACCAATGAGATCCTGGAGACCAGTGTTACGGTTAAAACTTATGGTAAGTTCACAGAAAAACGCACCAAGGCAATATGCTTAAGTTTTGCTCCTTTTGTTTTTGTTTTCTTGTTCTTGTTTTAATTTTGCCACATTCTAATTGAAATTTATTTGAACGCACAGCAAAAAAAAAACAACAACCAGGGGAAGGGATATTATCAGAATTTATATTTGTTTTAAAACTAATTGCAAGGAGATGTTGTTCTTCTTTTCTTAGCTGGATCTTAAGGGAATTGCAATAATGTAAAACAAAAAAATAAAACGAAACCCCAATTCTAAAGCATACTTTTAGGTAGATTCAAATAATCTATGAGCTAATTGAAACAAGATTTTTTTTGGGGATGTAAATAATTCTTGGGGAGAAGCATGTAATAACTCAAAGTGGTAGGAACCTAATTGTTTTTTTTTTTATTTTTTTTTTATTTTCCAAACTTGCTTAGCCATTTAATATATTATTTTATAATATATAATATTGTTATTCACTTCCTTTAATTATTATTTTTCCTCACTTCCAAACTCCTTATCTCAAAAAAAAAATTAACAAAAATTTATTTTTATTTTTCCTCGAAGATCTCTTGCCATTCTCCTATTTCCTGGTGCCATTAATTGAAAAGGTCATATGTGCACATAAAGTTTTATCATCATTTTTGGAGAGTCTCTTTGCCACAAAAGCGTATAGTCATTTTGCATAAAATTTTATTATCTTTTATCTAATTTGAGTTCGCACAGAAGTTGAGAGAAGTTTAGAAACTACAGCTACAACGAATACTACTACCGCAATCATAATCGTTAACTAAAATTTATACGTAAACTTCATTCAAACTACAGCCTAACTATATGCTATACAAACATAAATACTGATGCTGCTGTTGTTGTTATTGTGATTGTTGTTGTTGTTTAGCTGCCACTTGAAAAGGTTGTAAAAGTCAACAATTGTTGTGATAATTTGCACATGGCAACAAGCCGTGGTAGTGGTAGACGAAGAAGATTATTCGGTGAAGATTATTTGTTTTGGGAAGTTATTTGCTCGAGTATGTGTGAATCTCTTCAGGTTTAAGAGCATATCTGAAAAAAGTGAATAAAAAACAGTAAAGAGAGTTTAAAAGTCGGGCGGGCCGACTCTATAATGCCCTACACCCCTTTGCATATTTAGTAGAACATCACATAACAAATAAAAAACCAGTAAAAAAAAGTCTTAACGTCGGGCGGGGCCGACAAACAGACGTCCTCACAAACCTAGAGAGCTCCGCATAACAATTAAAAGTTTTTATGGGAGAATTCAATCATACACGCTATGATTATAATTATAATTTATAGTTCAAAGGACTAAATATACCGAAGCATTTGTATCTTTTAAATTCGGACTTTTATTGCCCATTATGTATGGGAGCTATATCCAAATCGGAACCGATCTCGATAAAATTTGGCAAATACATTTCTGAGCTGTATTTGATATGTTTCCCTGAATATCGTTTTTACGGAGAGCATATTACGACTGTGGGTAACAAATATAACAAATCGGATGAACAGTATATATGGGAGCTATAGCTATGTCTGAACCGACCTTCACCAAATTTGATATACTAACTTCTAGACCCGGTCGTAAGTGCCAAATTCCATCCCATTTGGACAAATATTAGAAGTTTGGTGCACAATAAAAGGCAAATCGGACGAAGATTTATATGGGACCTATACCCAAATCTGAACCGATCTCGATAAAATTTAGCAAATATATTTCTGAGCTGTATTTGATATATTTCCCCAAATATCGCTGTTGCAGAGTGCATATTACGGCTGCGGAGGACAAAAAAAACAAATCGGATATATATGGGAGCTATAGCTATATCTGAACCGATTTCAATCAAATTTGGCATACATATTTACAGGCTAATTTGGTCGTATATGCAAAACTCCATAGTATTTGGACTAATATTACAGGTTTGGTGCACAATAAAATGCAAATCGGACGAAGATATATATGGGGGCTATATCAAAATTTAGTCCGATTATCTCCAATTTCAATAGGGTTTGTCCATGAATTAAACAAATGACTTGTGCGAAATTTCATCTGGATCGGCAAATAAATGCGAGCTGTACTTTGTTTACAAAAATGCATGGACAGACGGACGGACGTGCATAAATCGACTCAGAATTCTATGGAGATCATCAAAAGAATGATTTTTTCAAATCATGTTGTATATCTGAAATCCTTAAAGGTTAAGTTACACATGATGTTAGAATCGTATGGAAAAATATATTTTTTTCACAGTTATCTGTAGGATTTTTGTAGTATACATTTAGACTTTCCCTAATATTTCCAATAACTAAATATTCTTTAATTAAATCTTCCGAATGTCATTCACAGTTCTCACACAACACAATGCTTTCAATTAAAATTGTCTTTCTTTCTTCTCATAGTTCACAACATAAATCCCCTCCACAGATTATCCAACAGAGTGTCATTGTTTTTGATATTTCCTTTTTTTCTCCACATAATGTTGCTAAATTTCTGTAAATACAATTTCAAATAATCAACAATTTAATAATTTGTAATAATAGCCATTTTCCATGTACACAATACTATTAATAATGATCGATTTCATTTCTGCAAATAATTGAAAAATCTCGTTTGTCTTTAATGAAATGAATGAAGTCTCAATAAATAAATAATAATAATACAATTATTGCCTGAAAGTATGCTTTAAAGTTGTTATAGTTTTCCTGGTAAATACCAAATGATTACACAAATCTCTCAATTGTTTTACTAATGATGCTACAAAATGAATGGTTGTTTTGCTTGTTATTGATATTTACAAATATATTTTAAGCTGATTTATGGGCTGCTGAGTAAATAAATAGATTACAAAAAGGAAGAAGAAGGGGAAGAGGAAAGTATAAAAGGCAGAATAGAGGGGATTTAAAGAAGATACTTTTCTAGGAAATGTAATGAAATGTTTATGTACGTTCGGAGATATATGTACAACTATTTTGAGAAATTTCATTTTTATTGTAAAAATTCAACACACACACACATCTTAAAACCACCTTTTACAGGAAATGTTTTACAACAATAAATACAGACATTTTTTTGTGTGTATGTGTGAATATTTCCGTTTCCTTGTTTTGTTTGTTTTGAGTTGAAAACATTTATTTTATTCCCAACTGTTTAAGTTATTTAATAATCGTCTCAAGTTGTTCAAGTGTAATGATTTTACACAGATCCCACTCACCTCCTCTCTCACACACACACACACCCACACCCATATGTGCAAACTCTCATATCTGCCACCAAAGCGTATAACAATAATTTGAGTACACATTACGGATAACTTATGAATGTAATTGCATTGCAAAGAGCATACTTTTGGGCAGTATTATTCATATGTGAAAATTGATAAATATTTATAGTTTCTCTGAACGATATGAACAAACATAAATAAAGGTTAAAAAGTTGAAAAATGTTATGTGGATAAATTAACCAATTTTTAAAAAAAAAAGTTTGAAATTGGTAAATCGAACATCAGAAAATGGTCGTAAATTTACGAAATTTATTGACCCCAGCCTTTCTAAAGACAGATATTTCATATTTTGAAGAATTCTTAAAAACTTTAATGAAATGAATGAATTCTCAATAAATAAATAAAGAAAAAAACTTTATTTTGGCTTAAGGTCAGAGTTTTTATTTTTATAATTTTGATTTTTATTTTCCGATATTTCGACTTCGACCGTCACCTTCAGGGAAACAATTTTATTGAGAAAAGCAAAAGTCTTGTTTCACCGTCTATGCAAAAAAATTTTTTCTAAAGGGGTATATATCAATTAACTCGGCCAAAACGTGCCCCATCAAATAACGGGCTTAGATCCTACGTCTCTTTGGACCAAATCCGTTTCAGGACATTTGGAGTCGATCTAGCGATGTCCGTCACGATAACTCTCGAAGGAAGTATCGGATTTGATCCAAACTTGGTACATCGTAATATTATTTTCAAACTTAGATCAAATTCGGAGATGGGCAATATCGGTCCACTTCTTCTAGTACCTCCCACACAAAATATCAAAATTTTCAAAGAAAATATTTTACTGCACAGAAAGAGAAAGGATAATACGATTTTGCTCCTACTTTGCAAATCCTTATATTTTCATCAGTGCTAGATTAGGTGTAAAAAGGGGCTATATGGGTGCACTCCTTCTGGTACCTCCCCCACAAAGTGTCAACATTTTGAATAATTATATCTCTTATAAAATGGGATGTAAATGCCGATTGTCTCCAAATTACATACATCACAATATTTTTATAAACCCAAGGTCTGGTGTGAGATACATTGGCGGAGAGGAGATATATTGGCCCACTCCTTCTGGTACCTCCCCCACAAAGAGTTAAAATTTTAAAATATACATGAAGCTCATAAAACGCGAAATAAACATCCGATTCCATTCAGACTTGGCACATCTCAATATTTCTATAAACACAAGATATGTTATAAAGATGGTAGTGATCGGACCATTTCTTCTGGTACCTCCCCCACAAAGGTCAAATTTTTTTAATAAACAAAACGATCATAAAATCCGAAATAAGCATCCAGTTCTCTCCAAATTACACACATCACAATATTATTATTAACCCAAGGTCTGGTGTGAAAATGGGAGATATTGGTCCACTTCTTCTGGTACCTCCCTCACAAAGGGTCAGAATTTTGAATATTCATGAAGCTTATAAAACACGAAATTAACATCCGCTTCCATTCAGACTTGGTACATCTCAATATTTCCATGAACACAAAATCTGTTATAAAGATGGTACAGATCGGACCATTTTATATGGTACCTCCTCCACATAGGGTTCAAGATTTGCAAAAATAGTAAATTCTGCAACAGGGCAAAATTTTGTTATTTTTTGGCAAATTTTCGTTTACTTACATACAGATTAAATATATCCTCTTAAAAACGTCAACCCGACCATTATATCCAAAAATAAAACAGGTCAATTCAGTCTCATTTGTCATCAACATCTCAATTCTATATCTTTTTCTACAATCCTTCCTTGTTCAGTGGAGTGTGAACTTAACGAAACTTCCTATTTCTCTTATTATTCTGTTCACTTTTGAATTGAAATAATTCGTTACAACGAAATTCCTGAGGAAATGCATTAGCAATTGTCATTGCAATTGGGGTCGCTAGCAAAAATAATCTACGAAAATACAAGATGAAGCAAATAGGAAACTAAATATTTTCGTTTTAACAAAACAAAAACAAAACATATCCTCTCTCTCTCTCTCTAACTCACTCTTCTGTATGGCGCCCAAACAAACTTCAAGATCTATGCTTGACATATTCTCTATTCTTCTTCTTCTTTCAATAAAAGCACACAAACAGCAGGCCCTCAATATTTTTCCAAAGAAATAACTTCGTGAAAGTATTTGCCAACCATGCAGTACAAAACAGGAAATCTTTACAAACTCAACACACAGAAAATCTTAAATCGTTTTACATGTGCGGGACACACATGTCGTACTCGACCTCACGTTCCTTTGGAGGAAGAGCCACACAACAGCAGCAAGACGGAAGACAAACTAGCGAAACAACAAGGAAACCAAAAAAAAAAATAAAACTAAGACACCATTTAAGTTCCGGCTTGTAAACATATGAACAACAAGAGGATATCAGATCCTAACAACCAACAACAATAACATAATCACTCAAAACCAAAAACAACTAATCATAAGGGAGGGGGACGAATGAGTATAAACCCTAAAATACTCCCTGCACTCCTTCTTCTTTTTTTCTTTTTTTGGCTCCTGCCTTGGCATTTAGCCTTGTTTGTGTAGAAGTAACTTTGGGAAATACCCACACAAACACGCAAACAAAACACTTGAAAGCTAAAGGATGTGATTTACACAAAGCTCTGGCAAATGCACTTGCACTCGTGTACTTGACGGTGGGCAAAAAAGGTAGAGAGAGTGAGTTTTAAGGAGAAACAGGAAACAAATAACCCCAGATTTACACATATACAACAACACACATACAAAATTATTTGAAATTATGTGAGAATTTCTGTTCGAAACTGGTTGCAGTTTGGAGTAGGTCATGTTCACATTTATTTGTTTGTCTGTTGGTCGGATGATATGCTATAGGGATAACCATTCTCAAATTTCAGGGAATTTTAATTGTCAAAAAAATTGTCATGTGTAAACGATAGATTAGGTCTACAGAGAGTTCAGAGAACAGTGAGAGTGTTTTTGCTCGTTGACCCGTTGTGGGGGAGGTACCAGAAGAAATGGTCCGATCTTTACCATCTTTATAACAGAGCTTGTATTTATGGATATATTGAGATGTGCCAAGTCTGAATGGCATCGGATGTTAATTTCGCGTTTTATGAGCTTCATGGATATTCCAAATTATGGACCCTTTGTGGGACAGGTACCAGAAGGAGTGGACCGATATATTCCATCTTCATGTGAGATCTTGTGTTAGTAGAAATAATGAGATTTTTGAAATATGATGAGAACCGGATGCTTATTTCGGATTTTATAATAGTTTTGGTTATTCAAAAACATTGACCCCTTGTGGGGGAGGTACCAGAAGGAATGATTCGATATCTACCATCTTTACAACAGATCTTGTGTTGATGGAAATATTGAGATGTGCCAAGTTTGAATGGAATCGGATATTACTTTCGCGTTTTATGAGCTTCATGGATATTCAAAATTTTGACCCTTTGGGGAGGTATCAGAAGGAGTGGACCGATATATTCCATCTTTATATCAGACCTTGGGTTTATACAAATATTGTGATGTGTGTAATTTGAAGACAAGCGGACTCTTACTTCACATTTTTTAAGAATTATAATTATTCAGAATTCTAACCCTTTGTGGTGGAGGTACTTGATGAAGTGAACCTATATTGTCCATTTTCGCACCTGACCTAGCACTAATACAAAAAATGGGATTTGCAAAGTTTGAGCAGGATTATCCTTTCTCTCTCTGATTATCCTTTCTCTTTCTGTGCAGCAAAGTATTTTCTTTGAAAATGTTTGGATCAAATCGAGTTACCGTGCCCAACAGCCAGCCAGACGGACGGAAGAAAATCGCTAGATCGACTACAAATATCCTGAAACGGATTTTGTCGAAAGAGACTTATGCCATGTTTACGTTAGAACTTTTTGTAGGGTTAACCTACTTTGAGAGGATTTATTTGAAGTAAAAGTAATGGATATGACAATTTAAATCCAAATCCAGTGGGTTAACCCTCATATATATAAACGTACTAATAGGGTCTAAAACCCTTATATTGATGAGGCACGTTTTGGCCGTTTTAAATGATTTATACCCTCTCTAGCCATATAGCTGAGGGTATAAAAAGAGCAACGTGAGAGAGGAATTTTCAGAGTTTACTGAGTGTTGCGAGAGATAAAATGATCAGTAATGTTTCGATATGTTGTTCCAGTTAGCCATTTTATAAAAAGATATTTAAGTTTATTATTTTTTTTTTCTGATAGACTTTAAATAACAAAATTCCATCTCAGTCTCTTCAAATACCTTGCTGAGAAAATCTTATATGGAAAATAGAGACTCATTCCGAAAAACAATAACTTACAACTTAAGTGAGCTTCCACAATAGTCCTCCAGAATTCACTTAACTCATTTCAATTTTTATAAACAAAAATAATTTCAAGATCGAAAATTATTAACGAACATCCCTCTCCCCAAAAATCTCTTAAAATGTGGAAATTCTAAGCTGGCATCTCTCAAATGACACGCTATGCTATCGAATTCGTATTCCACCTTGGCCGTAGTTTTATTTCAATTTTTTGTTTTCTTTTCTGTTTTTTTTTTTGACATTTCCGCATGCTTTATCCCTTTCCGTTTGTTCTATATTTTTTGCACTCCATCTGTCCATAGTTATTATAATGTTTTCCGCTTGTTCATCGCCCTGTCCTGGCATTCCCCCTCCTTTTTTCAATAAAAACGTAATCAGTTGACTGCAAAACTCCCAACTAAACTAAAGCTAAAGTTATTGAAAAAGTTTTGCCTTCAAAGAAGCTTTTTCTATTCACTTGCCAAGTCGATTGTTTGCCATCACAACAACAACAAAAAAATCGAAATTAAATTCAAAATTATAAGGTTGATGATTTTGTTTTTGGCTTAAGAAGTTCTTTTTTTTTTTTTTTGAAAGCCAAACTTTGTTAAAGGCAGTATGTGCTCAATTTCAGTAAAGTTGTTTTCGTACATTCTTTTTTTTTTTTTCTATTCGAACGACATACATATTTTCATATTAATCTTTGGCAAATAGGATGCATAATATTGTCTTTTTTTGTGAGATTTCCTAGATGGACGAAAAGTTTTTAATGAAAATTGTACTAGAAGTCATGCCACAGGGACTAGTTTTTCATTCAAAATTTGTGGGAGAAATGCTTGCTTTGAAAGGCAAGTTAAATGGTGGTCATACACATTGCATACTTTTAGGAGCAGTCATATGATCGATATAATATTTCAAATCTTATGCATAAATAAAAACTGAAAAAATGTGGAGGGTGGGTAATTTTACCTCTCCTAACCCCTCTCCACTCTCCCCCCTCTCCTCTTCTCTAAAACCCCTTTCATTTTCTTTCACCAAAGTTTTCCCATGTTTCCAATTTGATTAGCTCATTTGTTTCACGGTCTCATACAACACCATCTATTTTACGAATATTACCCACATGTAAACTATGGAAAACCACCCATGTGGCTTCTTTGAAATCCACAGCGATGCATTCCAAACTGTCTGGAACAAGCAAAAAAAAAGTAGATGAAGAAACCTCTAAAAATAAAACTTAACACAACTTTGTTTATGTGGCATAAAACAAAATCATGCTCAACACTTTTGCCTCCCAACACCCGCTTCTGCTGTTTGGTCTTTGGAGAGCTTAAAGGAGCAAAAGCAGTGAGCTGCTACTTTCAAATCTAGCCAAACACCAAGCACGTACATATGTCTGGCATTCGCATGTACGCACTTCCATGCTAAGGCCACATATTCGAAATGTCAACAAATGCACTTGAGCGTCCTTAGAATCCTGGGTTATCCTTTGAAAACAGCAATGTTAAGTGAATTGAAGTCAATTCTAGGATTTTTACTGCAGAACAAGAAAAAAAGCTGAAGGAAGCTCTGTGACTTTTTTAAATAAGCAATTCATTTATTTATTTGTTTATCCATGGCTAATCAAGTCACATTCATTCATGTCTCTTTGCAGTTGGCATTACATGGACAAATGCACCGGAAAATCAAAATCCCATTCTGGGCGAAGACTATGTGGTCAGATGTGAGGTTAAGGCAGATCCCAATCCAACAATCGATTGGTTGAGAGATGGAGATCAGGTAAGTGTTTCCCCGCCGCTTTAAAATATTCTCTTGCAATATACTCACCCTCTCCTTCCAGATACGCACCGGCGAAAAATATGTCGTCGAGACCAATGGCCTCTTGATACGCAACGTCCAGGAATCCGATGATGGCATCTATACCTGCCGTGCTGCCGTCTTGGAAACCGGTGAATTAGTGGAACGCACCATACGCGTTGAAGTCTACAGCCGTCCTGCCATTACCTATCTGCCCACCACTCTGGAGGCCACCGAGGGCAAACCCTTCTCCGCAAATTGCACAGCCACCGGTAAACCCGTGCCCGAGATCTTCTGGATCAAGGATGCCACCCAACAGAATGTGGCCACCGCCGACCGCTTCCAAGTGAATCCCTTGACTGGTGTCTTGAATATTAACTCAGTAACTCAGGATGATTATGGTACTTACACGTGTATAGCCAAGAATGATGCTGGCGTGGTGGACCAGAAGACCAAGTTGAATGTGTTGATCACTCCCTCCATCCACTTTTTGTACAACGTCACCGGCGATAGCCAAAAAGAGATTGCCCTCACGTGCCGAGCCAAGGGTCGTCCAGCCCCTGAAATCACATTCAGTCGTTGGGGCAGTGACGATGAATATGCCGCCGGTGTTCAAGTCGATGATGAGCGCATTACCCTGGAGCAACATTTCGACGAAGAGAAGGGTGAAAGCTCCGGAACTCTGAGAATCGCCCGTGCCCAACGCAGCGATGACGGTCTCTATCAATGCAAGGCTCGCAATACCGGAGGCACTGCCTACGCTACCGGTCACATCACCGTCCAATTCCCACCAGATTTCTCACACATGAAAGACTTGCCACCCGTATTCAGCTGGGAGGAGCGCAAGGTCAATCTCACCTGCTTGGCCATGAGCATACCAAATGCCACAATTGAATGGCGCTGGAATGGCAAACCTCTGAAGGATCTCAACGACAAGAATCTGCAAATTGTGGGAACTGGTCCACGCAGTGATTTGATTGTCCATCCCGTTGCTCGCCAGTATTATTCTGTCTACAAATGTGTGGCCACAAATATTCTTGGTACCAGCCAAATCGACATCCAGCTGAAGGAAGCCCGTGTACCCGAACCTGTGCCAGCCGCCGAACCTAAACAGTTGACGGCCACGAGTATTACCTTTGACATACGCAGTCCCCCCGTAGAATTCGGTATGCCGATAACGGCGTTTACTGTGCAATACAAGGAGGCCATTAATCCCGATTGGTCGACGGCCATGAATCGTAGCTGGTCACCTGACTCACCGTACATTGTTGAAGGTCTCAAGCCCCAGACAATGTATCACTTCCGTTTTGCAGCACGCAATCAGGTTGGCTTGGGCATGTGGGGCGTGAATACCCAACAGTCGACACCCAAACGTTCTGCACCCGAAGAGCCCAAGCCACTGCATTCGCCCGTGCAGAATGACATTGAGGAGCCCGTTGTTGTTTCACCCTACTCTGATCATTTCGAACTGAGATGGAGTGTGCCAGCTGATAATGGTGAACCAATTGATTTCTATCAGGTCAAATACTGTCCGGTAAGTCGAAAATCTCCACTTGCAAAATGGGAAACAAGTGATTAAATTTCTCTTCTTCTTCTCTTTAGGGTGTCAAAATGGCCGGAACTTGGCATGAGCTGGAAAATCAATGCCAATCCGTTGAAGTGGCCGACAGCACCTCCTATGAAATGAGCCGCTTGGCTGGCAACACCTACTATCGCATTGAATTGCGGGCCCACAACATCATCGGTTTCTCATCGCCGGCGTCCGTCATCATGAAAACCACAAGAGGTGAGTCCGATCATGCTAATAATAATTTGGGAACATTTTTGTATACGGCCGGTCTGAATTCGGCCGCTGCCCCATCAACACATAAAACATTTTTCACACGAACATCGACAACATCAACAACCGCCACCACAGCAGCTATTATCACCACAAGTACAGTCATGGCTATTGCTACAGCAACAACAACATGCCTAACACTCTTGAGCATTTTAGCCACAAACTTAGCTTAAAAAGCCCAATTCGATTTAAAAAAAATTAAAACAAATGCCTAAAACTAAAACTGATTTAAAAAAAAATTTTCATTGTCAGATACGATACATATGTATGTGTGTGTATTTAAATGCATATACATATATGTAAAATTATGAAAAGTATATAAATATATTTAAAATTGAATGGATTGGTAATTTTATCTCAAAAATAATTTACGAAACCTGCAAACATATTTTTCTAGTAAAAAAAAGACATTTATTTTCTTTTAAACATTCATTCGAATTACTGTTTTTTTTTGTTCAGTGTATTTTGTTTTCTTAGTTTGAAATCATTCGCAATTTCAAAACGTAAATTAATGTAAGTTGAATGGTCCTTCGATCAGTTACTAATGCATGCCACTTGTTGTTGTCTCTTTTGAAACGAATTTTGTAGAATTTCTTTTTCTTCTCTAAAATTAAACTATTTTAAACTTTCTTGAGTAGTTCGAAGTTTTTTTTAAAAATGATATACGTATATATTTTAATGTAAGACTTTTAATACTTTATTTTTGAATATTGTTTTTAACCAGCTGCTAAATTACAATTCATGAAAAAAAGCTTTTTGCAAATTCTATGAGGGCCACTAACCATAAAGAGTTGATTTATTTTTAGTTTCTTCCAGAAATGAAAGTCGATTTTTAATTGTACTGCTATTTTTATAAGGAGGAGTGTAGTAATGATTGTGTAAAATCGACCCATTTTGTATAGGTCAACAATAATTGAAAACTTCAGTGCAAAGGCATAACCATGGTAGAATAATACAGGTAGATGCATCAAGGCTGGGATCATTGAAATGTCAAAATGTTTAAAATGACTTTTCAAAAATAAGTTATTTTTTCTTATACGACACCAATCGTTGGTTGTTATGATATATTTTTTTCAAAAATTTCTACAAATTCGAATAATTTTTCATTGACAATTTTCAATTCCATAATTGGTTTGACAGTTCATTGTCCCATCAGCTGTGCCTATGCGACTACCTGCATTCTTTTACCATGGCCATAAAAGTGTAACAACAGTCTAAACGGGAACCATGTGTTTACTATACATCATACATTTGTTAAAGCTGCCTGGCCACATACCAAATTTATTTATGTCGAAAACTTGATGAAATAAACGAATAATATTGTTTTGTGAAGAATTAATTCAAAGTTAATGAAAAATGAATGCAAGTGTTGATAAGGGTTATGTAATTTGCCCGGAATTGAGTTAGAAAGGATCTTTAAACATTCTTAGGAATTTAATATAAATGTATGTTCTTCCATAAAATCATAAATCCCTGTTTTACTCGCCTTTACAAAGAGGTTAAAACAAACTTTTGATAAAAAATCTAAAAATCAAATATTTTCAATACCAAGCGTTGATAGGGAATTTATAGTCCCTGTGTGCAAACAGGGATCAAACAAGGATTTTTTGTTTATTATATTAAAAAGAGTTTAAAAACTTAACCATTTTATCACAAATTCTGCAATAAAATGTATTATTTAGGGATCTATAGTTCGATGTTATGAAAATCCCTGATATCGATATTTTTACCCGATTTGAGAACTGAAAACAAAATACACTGTACAAAATCATTAACGGGAGATAATATTAAATACCATTTAATATAAATTAATTAATTTTGTTAAATTTAATGCTTCTGTTTTTTTAATAATTAAATTACGTTTCGTTAAGCTTTCAAATCCATAGCTACATACATCACACCGACAAAGACACAAATCAATTGCATCACACATTAATGCCATGAACATGACATGGCTGTCATTTTTTTCCCTCTCTCTCACTCACTCACACACCTACATACATATGTACATGCATACATTACACACTATTCAACCGCAATTAAAACATCATTTTAATTACGATTTATTACAAAACCAAACCAAACAAAAAAAAAAAAAAAACATCGAAAAAATCGTTAATAAAAAAGAACAACATTCATTTGATTAATTTAATTTATTATAATTTGCCAAACGAGCTTGAAGTGTAAAATAATGTTTTGCAACAATTTTTCACAAAATGCAAAAAAACAATAGTTTTATAAATCTCTGTTTGTGTGAGTGTGTGTTTTGTTTTTCATACCACAATATTGTAGCTGTAATGTTTTATATGTATGTATGTTTGTATAATGTTAATGTTGTTTTTTGGCCTAGCTTCCGTTTCCGTCAAACCTGTTATGTTGCCAAGAAATATAAATCAATCATAAAACATTTAATAAACAGAAAAAGAGCGAGCTTATTTACCAAGGGACATTTTTTGATGATAAAAAAACCTCTTTTAATCAAAATCACTTTGGAAAAACATTATTTTTCAGTTTTGAAAAAACAATATAAATTTTTCTCTTTGTTTCAAAATTCCCTTCTAGAAAACACATTTGTTGTCAAATATGAATGAAAAGGATATAAAATATAAAAGAGAAGGATAATTTGTGTTTAAGGCTATGTTTCCATTAAACATATTTCAATAAAACTCGTAGTTTATTTGATATGCAAACCTAACCTAACATATAAACTAAAAACTTTGCAGAGATAAGCTCGTAATAATCTGTTTCATAATATATATGCAAAAGTGTGTATGTGTGAGTCTTTTTTTTTTTTCTTTAAAATTCTGTCGTGTGTTTCTTTTCACTTAAAAAAAATATGACAACTGCCAAATATTAAAAAGAAAATTTAAAAATCAAATATTTCAACAAAGGTTTTGATTAGAATTTTAGAAAAAAATCTATGAAAAAGAAAACAAAGAAACAAGAAACAATTCCATTAATTTAATTAAATCATTTTCTTTTACTTCTATATATCTTTATAAAATTAGACATTTACTATATAATAGATTAAACAAAAAAACATTACTTTCTTAAAGCAAATCATTTTATTAAATATAAGTTTTAGATTTATGTTTCATTTAAAAACACAAAAATCAATCATCACTTTGCTTTAAGTCAAATCCCAAACTAAAGAGTTTACTTAATATTGCAATAATTATTTGATAAACAGAAATATTAATTGCTTTAATTTAATGCCACAACAACAATGATGATATGAGAGCATAAGCTAAACAGGCAACCAAAACAAGCTCAAACAAAAATATTTAAACATAACTATCTAGTATTATTTACTTCGTCTTCTTCATTGTTTTCTGTGACTAAATTCATGTAAACTTCATTTATGTTTTAAAAATGTTTATTTTTTTAATTTAAATTAATTTTTATATTTTTGTGTGTGCTCACCCTCATTTCAAGTCGAACAACAGACAGCAATAATAACAACAACAATAATAATAATAAACAAATATTTAGTTAAAAACAAACAACATTTCATTCTATATTATTTTTAGTTATGATTTTTTTTTTTTTTAATAATAATAATAATAATAATAATAATTATGTATATGATTTTAGTTAAAAAATATAAATATTTAATATAATATTAAAAAATATATATATAATTTTCTTTTTGTTTTTTGAATATTAATAAAAAAATATGGAAAAAATATGCCTACTTTTTAATCAAAAGCATTTTCATTTAGTTCAAGAGTTTGTTTCCAAACATATGTGTACGTTTTGCGTGTGTGTGTGTTTTTCCATTTATCTTCTATCTATCAATGTATGTGTAAACGTTTTCTGTTGTGCTCGTCTGCAAGTGTTACATTTTTTCTATATTTCTCTCTATATTTGTAATTTTTGTAATGTTTATTCTCTAGTAAAATTTACACAATATCTTTCCCTATCATGTCTTCCAAAATATCCCTTCTTTTGATTTTATAAAAAAAAAGTGCGCTGGGTGATTTTATAACAATGTAAAGTGGGTTCCGAAACAAAAATATTTTTTTTTTTTTCAAAGAAACCAGTAAAAATTTTTTTTTGTTTCTATTGGGGGAATTGATTTGAGAAAAAAAGGAATTGGAGTTATAACCTCCAGAAGGGCTAAAAAAACTAAAAATGTTTTATATTCAAAAAAAAAAAAAATGATTTGAAATTGTGTGGTGGCAGGGCCACCTTGTTTTTATACTCGACCTTACCATTTATGTTATGTTTACATCAAACACATGGTAGAAGAATACTGTTAGTGGCATCGACACAGCTGCTGGGACAATGAATTGTCAAAAAAAAAATGTGAAATTGATAATTTTGAATGAAAAACTGTTTAAATTTGTAACTTATAAAAATCTACTTATTTTTTGAAAAAAAAAAAAAAAAACATTAAAAAAATTTGACATATCAATGTTCCTAAGCGTTGATGCATCTGCCTGTATTCTTCTGCCATGATTGTCATCGAATGTATGACAATGTTTACATTTACTCTCTTTATCATAATCCAATGTTCTGATATGATACATATGTCTAAAGTAAACAAAGCCAAATAGTACGTTTACATAGTAGAGGATTTAGTAAAACCAGTGGATTTAAATTATGAATTCGATTCCTCAATTAATCCTCACCAAAGAGGTCGTAATGTAAACGTGCTGTTAAATGCATTGACAAATATATTTTAATATATATTTTTTAGACCTTTCTTATTATTTTTTTTTTTTTTTCAAACCCAATACATCATCCCCCACAATGTCCCCAAGTTTCAGTGTTACGTGAGCGTGTGTGTGCGTGTTTTACTAGTTATCAATTCACATACTAACTTAGCCTAGATAACAACAATTTTTGTATTTTACTTTCCTTTTTTGTTTAATTTAATGTCTACACAACAACAACACTAATTTTAAATGTTTGATTTCTAACAAAAAAAAAATTGAAAAAAA